CCACCTTTATTCTTTTCTTTACAATAAGGCTTTCAAATAAGTCATGATTGTACGGCAGTGAAGCATCGGTGTTGAACACTGATGTCATGCTGTCGATGATGATGATGATGCTGATGATGATGATGACTGTGGCACTAGCCTGGTAGATACGGCATCCAAGGCACCCTCGGCTCTTATTCTTCGAAGGTTGACTGAACACGGTGAGAGACAGATCCATGGAAACCAAGATGGGCTCCGTCCTGCAATAGAATGCATCGACCATATCTTCACCCTCCGACAGATTTTGGAACAGCGACACTGCTTCCAGCCGCCCACAGTGGTTGTGTTTCTTGGTCTGAAAGCTGCCTTTGACTCTGTTGAGCGCCAAGCACTATGACAGTCGGTGGAGCAAAGGTACCCCCCACAAATTATTGACCCCATTCAGGCGCTGTACGCCAACTCCCGCGGTCATGTGAAGGTCTACGGGAATCTCTCGCCTGCGTTCACATCAAGTGGTGTCCTACAGGGCGGTCCTTTTTCACCTTTCCTCTTCAACTTTGTCATTGATACGATCATGGTAGACTCACTACCAGCCTCTAGTGCCTGTGGGGTCGAAGTGTTCACGGGCCGTCTGCTCACAGACATCGAGTACGCAGATGACATAGCTCTTCTTGGGTCTGACCCCGTGGTAATGAGAACAGTAAGTGCCGAATGATGCTGTCTTACAATATTTTGAGGAAACCAGTGGAATCAAACGTTGCGTTTGGCCAAAAAGCGGAGTAGGTCTACACACAGAAACCTTCGCATCCCAGGACGTTCTCGGATTCCAATAAATATGGACGAACAACTTACCTGAGAACTGTAACTCCCACTCCCGAAGTCGCTCCATTTCTACTTGAGAAAGGTCTGAAAGATCATCATACCGACCTCCGACCTCGACAAGCTCAGCTTTGAAGCAGGCCAATGCACGCGAAACGTCTTTCCCAGCGAATGAAGAGTAGGGTGCACCTGAGAATGATAGTCATTCAAGAACCTGACCGAAATCCTACCCTTCCCGTAGAAGTTCTGGCCATTTTCTGTGACGTCGAAGACATTACCATTAACGGCCAATAAAATACGTCCATCAGGGCCATTTCCATCGAATTGTTGTAACTCTTCTAATGTGAAATCCCGCATAGGGAGTTTAGGTGTTCGGGTTCTTGAAGAGCGGCGCCGACGTAGAGCTTGATATATCACTGCAATAATTGCGGCAGATATACATAGTACAGAGATGATAATCAGAATCCAAGAGGCGAATGACTCTCCAACATACGACATCACAAAGACGTCCCAAACGCCCTCTGGCGACTGTCAGCTCAAGGTCAAATCAATTCAAATTGACGTAGCCCAACTCAGTTCATTGATGCAGATCTCAAGAGGCAACCAAAAAAGCTCCCAAGAACAGTGTTTCACAAACTACTACATAAAGTTGTGACGCTTGATCGTGTGTATTAGAGATCACTGAACCTCCATTAACAATCACAGTGCTGTTGAAAATTGTCCAAACCTAGGCGCGGAGTCACCGTTTCACCGAGTGATGGGCAGGATCAAGGCTTTCGGGGGTTACTGTCGTCGTTCAACATTTTCCGCCCAACTAAAAGGCACAGGCGGTAAAATGTGTTGCACAACTCTTTGAGTCCGCAGCGCCTGACACTAAACTTGCATGCTAGTGGACGCGCCTAAATAAGCATCCGAAAGTGTTCTGAACTCGTTCCTGAATACACCGCCATGACCCCTCTGAAGTGGTCTATTTCACGTGCCAACTACTCGATAAACGAAATACTGCTGTATAATGAGACTGTGTGCTCTGTGCTTGAAAATCTCACCGTGTGCAAATAGTGTTCTTTTAGTTTAAATGTGAAAAACCTGTGGTCCAGACGTTATTCGAATGGGGTAGAGGTGAGTTTTAGCTCACCCCAGAGGCAACAGTACTCCAGGGGATGAATGTCAGCACCTGGGGGCCTGTTTTTTAGTCATCGGTATTGGAGCTAACAACAATTTTTGGAGCAGTTCTTTGGACTAGCTCAGTGAGAGTTACATCCTTGTTTCGTGTTTGGTAGACCACTTGGTCTGGCTGAATCAAATAGCGATCTGATGCGTGCCACGTGGAGAACCTGATCGACGACGCGGGTACTCAGGAGAAACGTTTGTCGAATCACACCTAGAATGACGAATGCATTTCGGGCTGCGCCTGTGTGTGATCGACTCACAAATGCAGTGCGAGAACTTTCGAGGATATGGTTCTTTATGTTTCCCCCTTTTACTGCGTTTGAAAATTCTTTTAGGCCTAACCCTTAATGTTGCGCTGAGAGGTTACCTACTGCTATGATGTAGTCACTGAATTCCTGTTGCGTTCGTGCTTATTCAGGAGGCTGCTAGCTACAATTCAACTGATGATTTTCTCGTGAGGAACATTCCTTTGCACCGGATGACAAGGATTGGGCTTGAACGACCAGAGGTTTGTAGCTCGCTCACACACGGCTTTATTGCGGAGTAATTTGAAGCATCAACTTCATTTACAATTCATTTTTACACAGCTTACCTTCACACAATATGCATCTTTAAAATTAATGACTTGTTTCAAAAGCAGTTTTATCCCTTTTGGCTGTCCACGCGACGGCCCAAGAAATGTTGCCGGTATTTCATAAAACACCTGCGTTTGGGGAAAACCTCAGCTTCTTGTCAGTCCGCTGCGGCAACCCAATTTAAATATTTCTGTGAGCTTTTTAAACCTTCTTCGTAATGCTTACAATCGCCCATCTGTAAACGGAGAAATCAGGATAATCATGTCAAACTTTGACTACTGTGTGATTAGCTTTCTCAAGTTATACATAAAAGCAACAACTGAATGCTAATAAACACTGATAAGCACATTTTTTAACATAAAGCACAACTAATGATACTAGGTTGACTCTCGAGACTTAAGCTACTTCGGGTTTTGAGCTAGGTTTTGCTGCTCCGTAGTAAGTTCATTCATCACTCCAGATAGGTTTCCTTTGTCTGAGCTCAAGAAACTATCTCGGTAAAATAGACATGTATGAGGACATGACGCTGAAAAAATAGTAGTTGGTCGTTACAGAAGCAAAAATCTCTCAGGGAAATTCGAGATCAAACTAAGCATAATTCTGAAAGTCAGTGAAGGTGGTTTTGGGCCTAGAATTTGGAATAACTTGCCTGAGGGACCGACCACCTTGATCGTTCTTTGGCTCCCATACTCGGAAATGCTGATGGCTTGGGTTCAAGTATTCCACTGGGCTTCATAAGAAAACAAGCCAGAATTGTAGGTATCGGTGACGGTCAAAATAAATCAAAGAATTTCTCTAACACGATGGATGAACTGACGGGTGGCCTATCAATAGAGGATTGATGGATGAAGTTGCGATCATCGTGGTTGATGATGCTACACGTTGGATATTTGGGTTATTAGAATGGACCATCAAGGAAATAAATAAGAATTGACTAATGGAGACGCGTCACAGTGAGGATGAGTATAAGTTTACTCCCTGAGATTATAGTGGGTAATAAAATTAGTGAAAAGTGCCCTTCTCTTTGAGCGGGTAAGTTGAAAGACTCCGTTAATCGGGTTTAGTTATGGTAATCGTGTAACCTGTGTGGAACTCAATGAAATGGGGTGCTTCTGTTAACTGCACAGGTCACAAGTTTGTAGGCCGTTGAGTTAGCTGCAAGGTTGAAGCTGGCAGTTTACTAGGAATAACTCAGGCCATTGGCGGTTGGGTTGGGCCCGGCAATTTCGTTCCACCTTGGATCAAGTTCTGATGTGGTGGAAGTAGGCGGTCGGTGGTATGGGAAAATTTAAGAGTGCGTGGCTTGTCCAGCAGTGTCCTGTGACTATAATGTTGTATGTTTTGGTTCACTGATCGTCCCTTAATTGATCCCACGATTATCTCAATTTTCTAAAAGGTGAACATTTATGTTGCAGGATATTTTGTGTTTTACCTAGACTACCAACACAGGAACGGTTCGGCCGTCTCATAATTTTATGCACTTTGGTTCAATGTGGCAAACCATTTGGATTGAATGCACTGGTAAAGTCACTCAGCAGCTAGCCATGGTAAATGGCGACCAAAATGGACATCTTGAGCAACCAAAGCTGAAAATGAGAAACTGAGATGAATGGATGGTGTGCGATCAGCGGTGTATCCTTGACGATGCTTAGGTCACTACGCAGCAAAAAATCTCTTCGCTAATGTGCTATCGTCAACGGAGTCCTTAAAATGCCACCCAAACGGGGGCCATCTGCTTGTGGTACCCCATACAACCGGGCTTAAACACGCTTCGGTCTCACTTTAGTCGCTACGGGAGTCGACACCAGCTATAACTGAGCCCTGACTTAACGCTTTTAGGTGAGTATATATGTTTGCCTATAAATCTCATAGGTCGACCTTAGTTAACTTTAATACCTGACGCATAACAAATTTATTGCTTCGGATGGCCAAACTAAATGTGTGTATTGTTTGCAGTGACAGCAGCAGTTGGCTCTTGGCTCAACAGTTGCGCCCCAAGGCCTGTGAGAACAGGCGAGCTTGAGCGTGTTTTTTATTTATCTGTTTACTAAAATGAACTACAACCATATGTAGCGAACAGTTTCAAAACACCAACTTCTTTTGCACTTAAGTGCGGTATTTCTTTCAAGGCCCTTCTGTCATTTTTCCAACTAACGCTCAATACAGGTTCCCTGTTTCTTGACGGCTCAAGTATATTATCGGCATGTCGGCGATTTTGCAGCTGAAAGGGTTATTTTGGTAGGCACCACACTTGCGCTGTCCAACTGAGATGCGTATGCTAACTGTTCTGTCATTTAGGCACACCTCACAATCGAAACCTCAGTACGTACTTTGCAGTTGCTCTTCCGCTTCGACTATGGCAAACTCTGAATGACATGCATTAACCGCTCACCTCGCCGACCAAAGGTAGTTACTGCTTGTTACCAGTAATTCACGCCTTAGAGCCTGACATCAAGTCGCTCCTTGCGGCTTTTTCCTAGAAACACGTGAAGTGCTTGATTCCGGATAACCGGCTTCTGGGTACTTCATCGGATGCCGGGCTGCTCCACCCTCCACGCCAAAGGGCGTCATTCATTTCCACTTCTGATAAACTGGAAGCAGCGTTACCTGCAGCACTCACGTAGACTATTGTTAGTAAACTTTGTTTCAGTGAGATGCTGTATTCAAATGTTGAAAACCTAAGGTATCGAGTTCTCAAACGTACCTGCCAGCGCCTCATGGTCATTCCTTGCGGTCTCTTCCACATCCAAATGAACTGCAACCACGTTTCCCTGGGCGCTTCTTGTAGAATAACGAGGAACGGTTGTGCGCCGAAGCCCAAGCTTGCACGCAGCTCCCGTGAATCAGCAGCGATCGGCGGTTATTTTTATTTTTGTCCCAAACGCTCACGAGAAACAGGACGAGCGCCTGTTTTTATATCTACATTTTGTTTCCAAGCGGTTTGTACTTTGATTTTTCGCTTCCACAGAAGGTCACCCAACTCTCCGGTGACCAGAGTTGAGGTTTTGTTACCTGTGCTTCGTAGCTTGCAGTTTTTATCAGCTCTAATCATGGTCGCTACGCGCAAATACGCACTGATGATGTCACCTCGATTGGTGATGAAACGTTTGCGACCAAATAGCCCAGCTCAGCGAACAAGCCAACGACCATCTACGCTACTTGAGCTACCGACATACTTCTGTATTGAAAAGCTCTAATTATTTTAGAGTGCTTGCTCAGGGAAAACGCGGCGCTGCACGCAGGTTGAACTTAGAAGCCCTGGGGTTGCAGACGGACGCGCTGTCTTTTACGCCCCGAATGTTCTGTTTTTGTAATAACTTTGAAGTGCATCTTACACAATTGTCCTCATTGCGATTTCATTTTAAATGGACAGGGTCTGGCATTCAGATAAAAGACGTGGCATGCGTGTCGTCATAAAACCTGCAGGAATGTTTGGCTCATGCCTTACATCACATATAGAAAGGCAAGTAATATTTCTCTCGCAAAAGTTTGATGTGCGGTGCCGCTTGTCTTAACCAGAATTCTCTTAACGTTGATAACTACTAGGCACATAGTAAAATAAATATGGAATATTTATTCTACCGCAACTTCAGAATCATTTGTGAAACTAAGTACCAAACAGCCAACAAAAAAAACTTCGTCAATAAAATACAAGAAATATTTTGTGTTATTTTGCACGAGTTGTGACTGTAGACGCACTGCGCGAAAAAACTCGTCCCAAGAAATGAACTCAATCCTCAAGTTGGAGAGCAT